CATAAGTCCATCATGAATATTATGCTTATATTGTGTGATTTTTAAAAACAAAGATTATTGACATATTCATGAAATGTTCAGTGTACTTAAAACATCCTGTTAAATGCCAAACACTGTGCTAACCTGGAAGTACAAAGAGGAAAAGAAATAATTGTCTTTTTTAGGGAGATTTCACTGTCTAATAGGAGAGGAAAACGTGAAAAAATAATTACAAGGCTGTAGTAGATGTGCTAAAATAGAGGTGACTCTAGTGTAGAGAATGCTTAAAGCAAGGGATGATCACATCTGTCTCAGGTGTGTATTAGAGAAAACTTTGCCAAGGAGCACTTGAACTGCCTCTCGAAAGATGAATCAGGTTTGCTTAGAAAACAGGAAGATGCCATTCTAGACTGAGAGGACACCTGGCAAAGACAGAGTGACACGTGGGGGAATACTTGCTAAAGGAAGGGAGGAAAGAAGCTTAAGTAATAAACCTGAAAAAGAAAATAGGGGTTCTCGCTCTCTCAGTGACTTTTAAGTGCTTTCTATGCCTCTTCTTTCAGTGGTTCACCAACCAATTATGAGACAACATGGATAGATTTATTGTTTACAGGAATTGGAGGTGGTTGAAAGAGAAGACTTAAAAGCTAATGAGGACTTTGTTATCTACTTGAGAAATGATCCAGGGGGTAGAGTAGAGTAAAGGAGGATGGGTCATTGGCGGAACCAGTAGGATTAATTGGTTTATAATAGGCCATTTTTCCTTGGATGTTTGCATGGGCAGTGATGTCATTCACTCAGATGGAATTGTAAGAGGAAATGAATATCAGAGCTAGGCTGGGCTATATAATCAGTTTAGCTTTGGATATATAGATTTCTGTGGTGCCTGTCAAACATCGGAAGTGGTAGAGAAATTTGTGAATTGTAAACTTGCACATAGAAGTGGAAGTTGAGCTTAGATGAAGTAGTGTATGCAGAATGAGAGGGAAAGAAGCCTAAGAAGGGATCCTTTTCCTTTCTTATGGAGAATGCCCCCTTTTAGGTCTCAGCAGAGGAAGAACACTTATAGGTGACTGAGAAGAAGCTGGGGGAGAACCAAGGAAGAGTGGTACCAGAAGTTCAGGAGAGGAGAGAGATGAAGGTTAAAAATACATGTTAATATTTGTGTAGAGTGGTAGTTTTGTGTGGAGACCTCATGTTTCTTATGTAGTTGTAATCTCTAATTTTGGCTGTATTATCTCAAGTTTATAAATATTACATTTATTATTTGGAATTTATCCATAGAAACCATCTATGTATGTACATGTATTTAAGCACACTATCTGCACACTGCAGATATGTGTTCCTACTATAACTACTCATCACGTCAAACAGGCCAGAGAGTTGGAATTATCCTCAGTTTACAGATAATGAAACTAGGATAATTTGCCCAAGGACACATGGCCAGTACAGAGCTTGAATTCAAATCTAGGACTTCCTTAGTCCTACTGGACAGTGTTGCCTGTTGACTGAAGTCACAGCACACCTATAAATGAGTGATTTTCTCATTTCTAAACCCTTTTGTAAATGTAGGTGTAACTTTAGAACTTTAAAATGTGTCATTCCAGAAAAAGTTGTCTATTCCTTTTGCTGTTTTTATTCAAAATTTTAATAGTATCCTTTCTTGGTATAATTGCTTTTCAACTTTTAAAATCTCGTGAACATGTGTGTGCGTGCTCAGTCACTTCAGTCGTGTCTGACTCTGTGACCCCGTGAACTGTAGCCCGCCAGGCTCCTCTGTCCATGGGATTTTCCAGGCAAGATTACTGGAGTGGTTGTCATGCCCTCCTCCAGGGGATCTTCCTGACCCAGGGATCAGACCCTTGTCTCCTGCATCTCCTGCATCGCGGTGGATTCTTTACCACTTAGCTACCAGGGAAGCTTGTCATGAACATATTTGGTGTTTATTACATTTTTCCATTATTTTTTGGTTTTTAACTTTTTGACGTGATCAGAGGTTCTCCTCATCCTGCATCTTCTAATGTCAATATTTGTTCCCTTGGCAGTGAAGAGCATGGTCTCCTAACCAGTTGACCACCAGGGGATTCTCTAAAAGATGTTTTTGTTGCTAAATAAATTTTAAAGTTTACTCTTATTGATATGTCTCAGACTGAATTTTGCAAACACAGTGAATTAAATAAACATAGTGAAAAGTGTTGATTGTTATTGGCCTGTTCTGCTTCCTATTGAAGTTATCTGCAATTTCCAGGATTGTTTCTGAAAGATAGATGCACCTCATTAGATATGTTATCATCCTTTAGTTCTAGTTAAAGCTAATACCAAAGACCCTTGTCATATATTATATTAATAGCTTTAGAAGATGCAACAGGGTTACAATCTCAGTTCTTCATAGGAATGGAAAAGGGATGTGTGTTACAAAAGGAATTTTATACTTCCCTTTTGATCACTGAAACCTCAAGGAGAACTGAAGTGGTAGCAAAAACAAAGAAGTAGGAAATCTTGAAGTCAGATTCCCCGGTGGCTCATGTGGTGAAGAACCTGCCGGCAGTGTGGGAAACCCAGGTTTGATCCCTGGGTTGGGAAGATCCCCCGAAGAAGGGAATGGCAACCCACTCCAGTATTCTTGCCTGGAGAATCCCATGGACAGAGGAGCCTGGCAGGCTACTCCATGGGGTGGCAAAGACGTGTGGCAAAGTCACACGACTGAGTGACTGTCACTGTCGTCAGGAATCTTGAATTCTGTTCTTAGCTTTGCTAATAAATATTTAGGGTGATCTGGCAAGGTACTTCCTTTCTCTGGGCCTATTTCCTCATCTGTAGAGTAAGGGAATATAAGAAAATGAAAAAGTTTTCTTCTAACATTTGTATTTCTTTAATTATGATAAAGTCTAGGAAATTAGGCATTTACAACATTACTTTTATGCTGGCCATGGTTTCAGTGTAAAACAGGTTAGTAAAATTGCCATGTCTATGCTTTTGATTAAACCAAAGCTTCAAGTTAATTGACTTTTGTCTTGAAAAGAGATAGTAAAAAGAGACCTTTGATTCACTTAAAAACTTATATAAGAATGCAAAACTCCCCACTTGGCAGCTTGAGTTAATATTTCTGCTAGAGGATTTTTTTTTTAAAAACACTTCTCGGTTTTAGACACTTTTTAAAAAAGATGAGTTGTATATATACTTCATAAAAATCTTATGTAAAATTGAGTTGAAATAAAATAAAAATAACCAGTATATCTTTATCACATTATCTCACTGCTAAAAATGTCTCTTGTTCTTATTGTTACCAATGGAACCAGGTTACTAGAAAAACTGAAAATTTGGGAAACTTGTCTCAAAACAAGATAACTATATTATCTACCTGATACAGTTTTTGTGAAAATAAATTGAGACAAATTTATGTAGGTGATTTAAATAGTGCTTGGCACTAATAAATACTCAGCTAGTCTTAACCATTAATAGGATGAAGAAATTTTAAGAGAAGGTTTAGATTATACATTGACTTACAGGCAGAAGATGAATAAGAATAAGGTATTTAAATTCTTCTGTTTGTTATACAGAGATTAGATTGAAACAATTGTAGGTACAGTGTTAGGTTCAGCTCCTCTCGCACCTCCCATTTCTACTACACTGCCCCACAGAGTGGAACGTTTGTTTTGTTCATCTTATAGCTCTCATGTCTCACAGATGATTTCTTCAAACTACAACCACCACTGATATTACTAATACTTATATGGATGGATCTCAAGTTATTCTAAAGTATAGCTAATTTCTAAGTCAGTTACTCAGAGATACAAAATGTTGTTTAGTTTTGAGTAGTTTAATTTAGAGAGTAAGTGACAACAATGTGGTTATGTCATTTGACTTTTTTTTTTTCTGGCTTTTGTAATTAATTCTAATCACCTTGTCAAAAAGTATTTTCTGACTTTCTAGAAAGGGACTGTTGATTTATTTTAATTCAAATATTTTGAGTATTTAAGAGAGTAATTTAGTCCAGTCCTTGTCATTTATACCAGAAAAAGGACATGGGATATGAAAGCAAAATTAAAAAATTTTTTCCCAAATAATTTAAAAATTTTAAACAATTCTTTTTCTAAATGTGGTAGCAGAATTTTGTCAAAAGTTGAGACTGGTAGATTGTTATGGTATCTGTCATAGATTATTGTCAGATAGAAGAAATGAACATAGCAGAATAGCTCTTCTAAATATTATTCTCATTTCCATTATTTTTTCCTTCATGTTGAATCTAAAGATGAAATCACAATTAAATCTAAAGAATATTCAGGAGAAAAAAATTAGGTAAAGGAAGAACTTCAGCTAACAGTGGTTTATGTGGATGTGATTGTCCATGTTACTCAGAGTAGGGTGTTGAAGATAATAGTGAATTTTGGTTAGGAGATCACAGCAGTGAAAACTATAGGTTACCAAGATCAAGGCATAAAGCCAAGGAAAGGTAGGTCTCTGACAGAACATGAGGAAAACAAACTATTTCTGTATTAAGATGGAGCATAAAAGAATAGTCCAGGTTCTGAATTTATTTGGATATATATCTCAGTGAAAGTGAAAGTTGTGTCCAACTCTTTGCAGCCATATAGACTATACAGTCCATGGAATTCTCCAGGCTAGAATACTGGAATGGGTAGCCTTTCCTTTCTCCGGGGGATCTTCCCAACCCAGGGATCGAACCCAAGTCCCCTGCATTGCAGGCGGATTCTTTACCAGCTGAGCCACAAGCGAAGCCCAAGAATACTGGAGTGGGTAGCCTATCCCTTCTCCAGGGGATCTTCCTGACCCAGAAATCAAACCAGGGTCTCCTGCATTGCAGGTGGATTTTTTACCAACTGAACAATCAGAAGCCCTCAGAGTTTACCTTAAAAGAGAGCATGAATTTGTTGGTACTTATACTTGGTGAATTATAAGGAAAGGAAACATTTCTTTAAAAATTACTAGAAATTTTGCCTGAATATTGTTCTGGACAAATTGTGTGAACTTTCTAATTACTTTTCCTTCAATTTATTTAGATCAGCTATTCCATGTATTAGCCTTGCACATGCGACTTTATAGCATTGATTCTGAGTATAACCCTTGGAGAAAGCTCACACAGTTACTAGAAGAGATGAGTTCGCAGTAAGTATTATTGAAAGATAAAATTCAGTTAAAACTTTTTTGAAAATGATTAAGTATAAAAATAAGATTGAAGTTCTTTTTAATATGTGAATTTTCCTTATGAGACAAAAATACATGATAAAAATTGAAAACAGTTTATTATATTATACTTTTATACCATTTATATACTATTATTATTGTTGTTACTATTTATACTATTATATTTTCTGTTAAATTTGCATAAAAATTCCTACTGAGTGAGAAAATCTTTTAAAGAATTTCATTGGTTTTTATATAGACAAAACATTCAGAGGCACACAATGGCCGGTGGTTCTTTTCATGTCATAATTGATCAAAGGGTTCAAGTAACCTTAGACTTATTCCTTCATTGTAAAGTTCCCCACAGCCTTTCAGCTGATGATGTTTGAAACCTAAGATCATTCTTGCCTTCATTAGGTACTACAGAATAGTGGTTTAAAAAAAAAAAATCACAAAAAACTGCTTTATGATTTATTAGCTAGAAACACTAGTTTTAGAATCTGCTTTTCAAAAATAACACATGACAACCAAATTCCCACATCATTAAAATTTTTGAAATGATACACCTAATTTACTTACTCCTAATTTATAGAAATACAGAATCTGTACTTTATGCTACCACTTATGTAATCAGTGGGAACCATTTCTGAGGGAATTTGAATAATAGGTGAGAAAGTGGTGCCCCTGAATTTTTCTCTTCTTAAGAACTTTGGGCTTGTAAAGAAGAGATGCCAGGGAGACTTAAGAGACAATAATAGGATTCATAGCATTAATGGAAGTTTATCTTTGGAGACAAAGACAACTATTAAAGAGATATTTGTAGAGAATGGAGATATTCAAAGAGCTGTCTTCTTTGGCAGTTCCATAAGCATCACAGAAGCAGGGATTGTTTACTCACATGTATCCAATGCCTGGCCAACAGTTAAGTAATCACTATTTTGCTGAATGACGAAGCCTTATAAAAGATTTCAGCAGTTTTTATTTATCCCAAATCTAGTCTCAAATGTAGCTTCAGAATTTAGCTGATTCTGAATGCTTAAGATTTACTTTTGTTCTCTGACATGAAAAACTAAACCTGTGATCAAAATATTTAAGTTTCTAAAGGAGTTTTAATTCTTTTAGAATGAAAAGAGCTGCTCTATAATAAATTCTGTGTGTTTTATGGTACTATACGTACCTTAGGTTTACTATTTTGTCTTTTATAGTATATTTTAAGTTCTACTTTGGTTATTATATCTTTTTTTTAAACTTTGAAAATGTTAAAAGATTTTCTTTGAATTTTATGTTAGTCCTAAAGTTGAAACAACTTTTTTGTTTGTTTGTTTCCAAGTTTTTATTTTTTATTTATTTTTTTGTGTGTATTCCATTTTTTTTTTTTCTTATTTTACTTTACAACATTGTGTTGGTTTTGCTGTACATTGACTTGAATCCACCTTGGGTGTACATGTGTTCCCCATCCTGAACCCCTCTCCCACCTCCCTCCCCATCCCGAAACAACTTTGAACAAGAGATATTAACCATGCCTTTTCAATGTAATTTGTTTGTGAATTGATTTTTTTATAACATGAATATTTATTCTTTAATATAAAGTTTGTGATAGCAAGTATCCTAAGTGCCACCCCATTTGTAGTGAAGCTAATTATCTTAAGTTCCATTTAATACTTCGTTTGATTTCTATAATCTGAGAGATCAGAAAGATTCACAATCAAGTTAATGTGTTCCAATTGTTTCAGTTAGTAAAACCTAATAAATTTTCCAGGTAATTTTTTCCTATTAGGCAGAATCAAAGAAATATGTGAGCCTAGAATATTATATTTTTAGGCAAAAATATGGTCCTAACTTTTTCTTTTGAGATTTCTTAGTTGCTTACGAAAGTTTGGTTTCTGTTCCATACACATATATGTGAAATATAAAGTGAATTAGAAAGAAAATACAATACTGTCTAAAGTGATTATGCATTTTTCTTTTAGACTGGGAAATGAGGAACAACAGCCTGAGGTTCCAATTCTTTATCATGATGTTACATCCCTTTTGCTCATCCAGATCTTAATGATGCCTCAACCCTTACACAAAGGTATGTCTTTACAGTTTAGATTCTTAGATTATATTGTATATATAATGAATATTCTAAAAATTACAGGCATAAATATAATATTCACTCTGATGGAAATGTTCTGAGATAAATAGCATTGTAATCATTTATTTCTAAAGATGAGAGTGAAATAAAGAATTTTTTTTCCTTGTGGGTCTGTTTTTAGCTCTTTAGTCAATATTTAGGTAAAGATATGGGGGAGTCACTGAAAATCTTTAAGAAATTAAAATAGTACAAAAATGTGAAAAATAGAGCTAACTGTCAGCTTTAATGCCTTTACCTATCTACATTCATTTTGATATAGGAGTATCATAGAGTATTAAAAATGTGATGACCCATTATTTTTAATTAGTGTTCATATCATACTAGTAATTTTTACATACTAATTTTTACTAGTATGATATTGATAGCATTCATAATTATTGCCCCCTAGTTGTATGAGTTGTAGAGTTTTTAATATATTTTGGATATTAAACCTTTCTGGATATATTATTTGCGAATATCTTCTTTCATTCAGTAGGCTACCTTTTTTGTTTTGTTGGTAATTTCTTTGCTGTGCAAAAGCTTTTTAGTTTGATGGAGTCCCATTTATTTTTGCTTTTGTTTCGCTTGCCCAAGGAGACATATCCAAAAAAATATCGCTAAGAGTTATATCAAAGAGTGTACTTGCCTTTTGTTTTCTTCTAGAAGTTTTATGGTTTCAGGTCCTATATTTAAATCTTTAATCCATTTTCAAGTTTATCTTTGTATATGGTCTGAGAAGATGGTCCACTTTAATACTTTGGCATGTAGCTGTTCAGTTTTCCCAGCACTGTTTGTTAAAGAAGCCGTCTTTTCCCTGATCTTATATTCTTGCCTCCTTTGTCATAAGTTAATTGACCATATACAGGTGGCTTTATTTCTGGGCAGGAAAGTCCGTTTAAATGTTTGATTTGTTTACCAGTTTTCAGAAAAATAAGTAGGTTTTGTTTTTTTTTCTTAGCATCCTCCAAAGGTGATTTCTTTTTTGTTTTTTATAATTATTATGGACTAATGAATTTTAGCAAATGAGATATCTTTTAGTTCTTGTGTAGAATAATAACTGTTTAAACACTTGTGTTTGGTTTTAGTTGGCTTGTGTCCTGATGATATGACCCCAGCAATCTTTGGTAGCTTCTTCAAACCAAGGCATTTTAATCTGTGGTTTAGGTGTTCACTGGAAAAAACAAACATTTAAATGAAACACTCACACAATTAGGTGATGTGCACAATTACTGAAAGTATGAAAAATCTCCTTGTAAGTTCAGAATGCTTTTACCCTAGACAAGTAGAGTTGAAAATTAGTTTTTATTAAAATAGGCTAATATTTGATTAAATAGAATCTCTATACTTGATTGAAGACTAATTCTACCTCATATTAGGAAAGTATTTTGAACTCCAGAGTATTGGAGAATGTTTTTTAGAGTGCTGAAATTAGTTGTGTTCCTAGACTTCCTGGAAACCATTCGAGTAAAGATTATTAAGGTAGCCTTTTGTTTTGATCATAGGCTTCCATAGTGACTCAGAATATCACATTCACATGATTTTTCAACTTCCATTATTCCTTGAACATACCGTACTGAAGAGGCAACTTTATCATTGCTACAGATACCTTACAGCCTACTTGACATTGTTTTTAAGCAGTTAATCTATACTTTGCACACAGAAATAAAGGTTTCTTTCAGGTAATTTCATTGTTTTTGAAATGTCCCTTTTCCTCATTTCAAACATATCAAAAAAGCTTTGGTGGCCTAAAATGTTTAAAAAGTGTTTTTTGAATGGATTCAGGACAAAGACTGTTGGAGTTTTTATTCGTTTCTCCACATCCTTCCTTACATTATTAAAAGAGCTTAATTTGGAACTCCCTGCTGGCCTAGTGGGCTTCCCTGGTGGCTCAGATGGTAAAGAATCTGCCTGCGATGTGGGAGACCTGGGTTTGATCCCTGGGTTGGGAAGATCCTCTGGAGGAGGAAATGGCAACCCACTCCAGTATTCTTGCCTGGAGAATCCCATGGACAGAGGATTCTGGTGGATTACAGTCCATGGGGTTGCAAAGAGTCAGACACGACTGAGTGACTAAGCACAGCACAGTGGCCTTCAAGGAATTCATGAATCTCTTTAAATAATGTGAAAAAAAAATTACATGTATATGTACATTTTTTATGAGAAGTTCCATAGCTCCTACCATATTTTCAAATGAATATTGACCTCTAAAACTGAGTTATTTATAAATTCTCCTGAGAACTCTTGGTCATAAAGCAAATAAATAGTTCTGTAATAAGGAATGGCAGTAAGAAAATTGCTTTTGAGTAGTTGTAGAATCAGATACAGATTTTAATGGGATGAGAAATGAGAGGGAGATGAGAGAACAGACATAGTGAGCAGAGAGTTATCAGGAGTGAATGTGGGGAGAGAATAGAGGCTGTTTGTGGATATAATTCAGAGTTATTTTTCTTTTTTTTTTTTTTTGAGCAGGTTTTGAACACGTTTGAATGTTTGCCATGTCTCCCTTATTCACTTAGTAATTCCTGGTGCTCCTTTACTGGGAAGCCATTTTCTTGGCTGTCCCTTTTTCGCTTTCTCAAAATAACTTGTTCACAGTTCTGCTTCAATACCTGTCTCTTTGTCATAACAGTGGGTTTTCTTCAATATCACTCTCTCGAGACTATCAATTCCTCCAGGCCTTGCACCATTTTTGTGTCCCTTGTGCCCAATGCATTCAGTAATGTGGAGTGAAGGTATTAAACATCCGGTTGTCTTATTTTCTGGTAAATTGCTTATTTTCTCTTGAAATCAAGAAAGCTGTTACTTTAGTTGAAATCTTTGTATCTTAAATTGTGATCACTTCTGTATAATGTTCTTTGGTAATGTTGGCAGTTTTTTAAACCTCAACCTCAATTGCCCTGAAGTATACCCAGGGGAACGGCCCTGACTACCTTATTCATTGTTAGATGGATGTGGGATCCTTTCCCAGTTCTGTGTTGATTAAGGCAAAGAAAGTCTTATTAAGCTGTTTGTGTTCATTACTCGTCAGAGGGAAAATAGGCTGAAGCTTATCACACGGAAAACCACATCACAAATTCTTTTTTGTTGTAGACTAGACATTTTGAAGAGAATCAGAGCACATTAGTAACTCAGATCATAAAATGGAAGACTAAGAAGATTTGATATTTTCATAGATATGTGTAAAATGCTTTATGGAAGAGTATAATTTTTTTACAAAAAAATCATAATTTTAGGAAGGGAATAAGTGTCTTCATTACGTCATGTTTATTATTTCTATGATTTTTCACATTTGGGTTTTATTATTTTATATATACTCTATCTTGTCCTTAAAGAAACTTGGAGCATTTGGTATCACCTTAACTCTAAAACAGTTTATGGAAAGAAACTTTTGCAAACATCAGAATCCTCTTTGTCTTCTTGTTTATCACCTACCCTAAGCCTGGTGCTTGTAGGCAAGCTAGTAAATAAATGGGTGTTAGTTGAATGACTGTACCTTTCCAGGAGAGTATAGATTCCCTGGATTACTTTTGCAAAACACAGCACACATACTGTTGGATAGAGTGCATACTCACTAAATATTTAGTTGTCAGATTTTAAAAAATTTCTTGTGTATTTTTGCCTTACCCACTGAAGAAAATCTGATGTACTCATATTTTGTTTGTATCATTCCAGAGTCAAGCTGTCATTTCAGCTTAATGTCAGTATTATTTGAACTATATTACTGTTTCAGGATCTTTATCTTGTTGAAAAAATCAAATATGGATAAAGACTTACATGTGATGTCTGTTTAAAAAGTTGGTTTATTGCCTTTCCTGGCAGCACAATGGTTAGGAAACTCGTGCTTCCACTGCAGGAGGCATGGGTTTGATTCCTGGTCGGGACACTAGGATCCCACTTGCCATGCGGTATAGCCAAAAGAAAAAAATTAAATTGTATGTTTCAGTTTTTTTCTTTAACTGATGAATTGCATGCTGATAACAAAATGATGACTTCATCTTCTGAAATAGTGATGAGATAGATGTGGCATCTACTTAGTAGTTCAATTTTCACACCAATTTAAGTAAAGAATTAATTTTCATTTGTGATTCTAAGGAAAAATTTACTTTTTAAAGAGCTTCAGGCTTACATTTCTGCCTTACCAAACTTATCTTAATGTGATCAGTAGGGGCAGCTTAAATTATTGACCCCTTGAAAATGCCTTGTCTCTCCAACCCCTTTCCTTTTTCCTATCATGCAGTAGCACTATAAAACTTAAAATAAGTACCATTGTTTAAAGACTGTTTACTTCTAACACATTTTAAATTAATATCAATCTTCCTTTGTTTACCCTCAGGTGGTTTGATAGTAGATTTTTGTTTTTCTGAAAGAAACATTGAGAATAGATGTCCAGTTCTTTTTTCCTCCATTTTAAATTTTGGTTGTTATATTTGAAGGGCTTTGCTCTCTGTTTTAACTTTGGAAGATAATAACCTGCTGACTTAATATGCACCTAAAATGAGTGTTTCCTTTGTTTTTTCCTTAAGTCTCTAAAAGACGTTGATTTCATACATGGCAAGTATTCAGTAAATAAATATTTCTTAAATGAATGAGTGAACATCAGAACTTAAGTTTAATCTATAACTTTAAACTGCCAGTTTAAATATTTTAGATATGATGATAATCATGGTAGACAAAATAACTTAAAAAATGGTACTTTGCTACAATAAGAAGCTAAAATTATGCTGAAAGTAGCTGTTGTTTCTTTAAGTACATCATTTCTTTTAAATTAAAAATTAATTTCTGTAGTTTATAATGAGAAGAAACTATATGTGAGTAGTGTTTCTAAGCAGTATACTTCTTGGTTAAAATCACTTTGTGCTTAGTAGACAAATTCTGTTATTTTTATCTTTCTATTAAAATATTTAATCATTATGAATTTTTAAAGTGTTGATGATACCTTCCTTTCCTATTCTTTGATGATTCCAGATATTTCCTGCCAGCCTACAGCTCCTTGGTGAGCTTATGTGTACACTTGTACACATAATGTTACATATTCCTCAAACTCACCCCACATGACATTAATTCATCTTCTTCCCATCCAGGCTTGCTCTCTTCCTCGATTTTCTATTTTAGTCAATACTACTACTGTTGATATTTACCCTCTGTAGAATAAGAGACTATAATTATTTTCTACCTCGGAAGCTCTACCAAATTCTATAATTTCTGTCATTTAAATATTTCTCTAATTCAGCCCACTCTTTTCACTGGGGCATCTAATTTGACATGTGCTAGAGTCTTTTGCTGTCTGCTCGTAGGTAGTCTTGCCTCTGGTCTTGTTTTAGTGCCCTTCTCCTAAGAAGCAGCAGTGAGTATTTTAAAATTCAAATCTAATATTATCATTGTCCTGCTTAAAATTACTTCTCATTGCCCAGTCTAAGTTCTGTAAATCAAAAACTTATAAATACGAAACAAGTAACATAGATAGTAGTAATAATAACAGATATTTACTGATTGCCATTGCCAATCCACTATTTTAAGCTGAATTATCCGTTTCACTTAACCCCTTTAAAGTAGGTGTTATTATCCACCTACTTTAACAGATGAAAAAGCAGAGTGTTTAACTAACTTAATCAGAAGAGTCAGAATTTAAACCTAAACAATTTAGGCTTCATAGCCGAAATCCATTGTTAACAATGATGTCTTTCGTTTAATATAATTGGGGATTGGGGACTGTGGCAAGTATGCTTGGCCAAAGAGGACAGTTACTGTTCAGCTCCAGATAATTGTTGGCATGTAAGAATGTGGGCCCAATGCTGTCAGATCTTCCTATTTTTCAAGAGTAAGTGAAAATCTGGACTTTTACAAGAAGTGTCCAATTTTTAAATGTCAGTAACTAAAACCAAAGCAGGATAAAGGCAAACCAAACATCTCTGCAGGTTGCATTCAGACAGGTAGCCTTCAGTTTACAGCCTTTGGTCTTCAGCATACAGGTTACATTTCTAGCTTCATCTCTCATGGATCACTACTTATAGTCTAGTTACACTGGACAGTTTACAGTTCTTTTCCTGTTTTTCACATCACACACTGAACATACATATAGCCGTCTGTCTGTCTCACTATCCAGACCCTAAGTCCTTATTGTCTGTAACCTGGCATGTGTTAGGTACCTAGATATTGGGCTGTTTAGAAATCCATTTAGAGCTAGCTTATAAGCACAAAGAGAGCACGAATGGACTCACCTAACCATACTATAGGAATTGGAGTCCTAAGGATGATCAGAATCAGGGCTTCTGATGCTGGCAGAGTTCTTGCCATCTTGGATCTATCCTTCTAACTCTGTGACTCTGCTTCATTCACTTTGGCCTTCGACAGTCTCTGCCATAGACTAGGAACATGATGCCTAATATTTCCAGACTCACATCTTTATACCTTCCCTTTACTTCCAGTTAAAAAATCCCAAATAGGTACTCTGGTTCAGCTTACATCAAGTTCCCACCCCAACCCATCAATACTGGTAAGAGACAGCATGTGTGTGTATGTATGCATATGTGTGCAGGCGCACTGCACACATACACAGAAACACACACAAATTTAAAATCAGGCAAGATTCTTCCTTAGGGCATGATTTTAAGGTGTCATCTGAGTAACTGAAGAGTTAGCTGGGCTCCAAAGAGGGAATGTTTTCATTTGTACAGAGACCCAGTGGAAGGATGCTGAATACTTCTTTTTAAAAGATCTGTCTTGCTGTAATAAACAAACAAAAAAGGTTGCAGGGGGCAAGTCATGCAGATAAACTACTGTGCAGAAGAGTTCATAAAGAAGGCCTGACTGCTATCCTTTGAAAGACCTGCTCCCAAAGTCAGCCCTTGACTGGTATCTGGGATCTTTGATTTCAGGAGGGTTTCCATCATCCCACTGATAAAACTGGCTCTCTATGCCCAAAGTGTACAGACAGTGTAGTTTATGATGATCGTACTTGTTTTCTTCCTGGGAGGTATGTGACAGGCTGTAGGTACCTCTGTGTGATCTGCTCCCAATAAAAATCTTAATGAATTCGCTGGTTTATATTTCAGACATACTGTCACAGCACATTGATGGACACATCCTGTGTGACTCTGCAGGGAGAGGACTCTTGAAAGTTTCCTCTGAACTTCACTCAATATGCCTTTTTCTTTTCCTTTGAATTTTTTGCTGTAATAAATCATAAGACTATCTGCTGCATCTTGTGAGTCTTCCTAGTGAATTATCAAGTCTGGAAGTGGTCTTAGGAACCCCTGACACAACTGTTCAGGCTGAAATTAATAGCTTTGGGCAAGAAATGATGGAAGCATGGTCCACGGTGTTGGAACTCATTTGAAAGATATTTTTAAAAAATTCATGGGATTTGGTGATTGTTTTACTGTGGGGAGAAAGACAGGAAAGTATCAAGGATGTCTACAAGTTTCTTAATTTAACAACTGATTAAGTGGTAGTAGCCGTTTACTAGGGGAGTAGCATAATATAATAGAAGGAAAAACTGAAGGATCTGTATAGATTCAAGTTCAGATGTAAGTGATTATTACTTTTGTTATCACAAGCACATCTTTTGAAGCTCAGTTGTCCAGCTGAGACTGTTAAGAAGATTGAAAGGAGACATTTGAAGAAATTTTGTAGGTTATTTGGTGTATATAAATGTTAATTATGATGGTTAAGCTACCATTTTTTAAAGTACCTAATGTGTGCCAGGCATTTTACATATTGTTACTACTATTTTTGCATTAATAACAGTTTTCATTGTTTTAAAATTCAGAGTACTTAAAATATTGGGATTTTTTTCTTTTCTTTTTTACTTTAGAAGTTCTGTATTGTACTATTCTTCATAAGATATTGGAAGCAGGTAAATTGTTGGTTTTAGACACTCAGACTCCCAGACCTGGTTATTAAGCACACGGTGTGCAGTGAGGAGATTTGCCAAGATTACAGCATTATTCTGAGGTTGAAACAGAGCATACTTCCCACTGTGCTAAAAGCCTCTTATTTGTGTATTATGTAGATGAATAAAGGAAATTTGATTCCATAATTTCAGGTCTGTTGGGTCACAAATTTAATACCACATTTTATTGTTGAACAATAGCCAGTTACACATGCAAGGAAAGGCATTTATTTGTGAGGTTATCTTGAGTATAAGATGTCTAGATTTCAAAGAAATAATGATCTTCTCTTTCTCTCATAGACCACTTCACCTGCATTGTGAAGGTGCTTTTTACCCTACTGTATACACAAGGTCTTGTGGCACTTTCAGTTAAATGCAATGAGGAAGATAGGTCAGCCTGGAAACACACAGGAGCCCTCAAAAAGGTTAGTGTCTTGTCTGAATTTATCATTTAGTAGTTTGGTGAACTCATTTAAATTGGTGCTATGAGTGAATGAGATTAGGTATTTGAAAGGCAAAGTGAGTTATTAACAGTATTTTAATTGGAAATGGAGCTGGTCCATCAGGCTAAAAATGTTAAAAATGTTTTCCTTGCACAGTGAGGTCTTTTTTATCTGTAAACCTTGGCCTTTCCCTTTTTGTATCTGGACAGTTTTGTTTTGCTTTTGCTGCCAGTGTTAAACTTACAGAAGTTTTAAAACTTACATTATCACAGTTGGCAAGTAATAAAATGTATGTAGGCTTACCTGTTTTACTTATCTGTCATCTTTTCTTCTCCTTGCCTCATCCCCAGTCACAATCCAAAGATCACTTTTGACTCACTACTTCTAGATTTAAAAATCCTTCCCTTTTTGGGGGGCTTCCCCTCTGGCTCAGAGGGTAAAGAATCCACCTGCACTGCAGGAGACACAGGAGATGCAAGTTCTATTCTTGGGTCAGGAAGATCTCCTGGAGTTCAGTTATAAGTTCAGTCACTCAGTCGTGTCCCACTCTTTGCAACCCCATGGATTGCAGCATGCCAAGCCTCCCTGTCCATCTCCAACTCCCAGAGTTTACTCAAACTCATGTCCATTAAGTCGGTGATGCCATCCAACCATCTCATACTCTGTCATCCCCTTCTCCTCCTGCCCTCAACCTTTCCCAGCATCAGGGTCTTTTCAAATGAGTCAATTCTTCACATCAGGTGGCCAAAATATTGAGTTTCAGTTTCAGCTTCAGCATCAGTCCTTCCAATGAATATTCAGGACTGATTTCCTTTAGGATGGACTGGTTGGATCTCCTTGCAGTCCAAGGACTCTCAAGAGTCTTCTCCAACACCACAGTTCAAAAGCATCAATTCTTTGGCACTCAGCTTTCTTTATAGTCCAACTCTCACATCCATACATGACTACTAGAAAAACCGTAGCTTTGACCAGACAGACCTTTGTTGGCAAAGTAATGTCTCTGCTTTTTAATATGCTGTCTAGGTTGGTCATAACTTTTATTCCAAGGAGCAGGCGTCTTTTAATTTCTTGGCTGCAGTCACCATCTGCAATCATTTTGGAGCCCCCCAAAAGTCTCTTACTGTTTCCACTGTTTCCCCATTTATTTGCCATGAAGTGATGTGACCAGATGCCATGATCTTAATTTTCTGAATGTTGAGCTTTAAGCCAACTTTTTCATTCCCCTCTTTCACTTTCATCAAGAGGCTTTTTAGTTCTTCTTTGCTTTCTGCCATAAGGGTGGTGTCATCTGCATATCTGAGGTTATTGATATTTCTCTTGGCAATCTTGATTCCAGCTTGTGCTACATCCAACCCAGCATTTCTCATGACGTACTCTGCATATAAGTTAAATAAGTAGGGTGACAATATAAAGCCTTGATGGACTCCTTTCCCTATTTGGAATCAATCAGTTGTTCCATGTCCAGTTCTAACCATTGCTTCCTGACCTGCATACAGATTTCTCAGGAGGCAGGACAGGTGATCTGGTATTCCCATCTCTTTCAGAATTTTCACAGTTTGTTGTGATCCACACAGTCAGAGGCTTTGGCATAGTCAATCAAACAGAAGTAGATGTTTTTCTGGAACTCTTGCTTTTTCGATGATCCAGCGGATGTTGGTCATTTGATCTCTGGCTCCTCTGCCTTTTCTAAAACCAGCTTGAACATCTGGAAGTTCACGGTTCACGTACTGTTGAAGCCTGGCTTGAGGAATTTTGAGCATTAGTTTACTAGTGTGTGAGATGAACACAGTTGTGCAGTAGTTTGAGCATTCTTTGGCGTTACCTTTCTTTGGGATCCCTCCCCTGGAGTTACATCTTTTTAAAAACTACTTTTTCCCCATGTTTAAGAATTATGTGAACAATTTAGAAAAATTGTGCAAGTTTAGTTAAATGTAAGTATTTTCAATGGCTTGAAGACAAATGAGATGTGTCCTGTTGAACCAAAAAACTGAGTGAGTAGTTTGACTTAAACACAGGTGAAATAAGAAGAATGCATGCTCAGTTGCTAAGTTGTGTCTCACTCTTGTGACCTACTTCCTTGTTTATTTGGGAAAGTTGGCAGGAAAAAATAATAAGTGTAGTGAAAATTGAAACTTTTCTTTGGTCTGTAGACTTTTTTTAAAAGTATTTTTAATTGGTTTATATACTCTTAGAGAAGTTTTAAATCTCATTGAAAAGTTTCTGTTAAAATCATATCTACTTGTATTAAAGAAGAGAAAACCAGTTATAGATACATGAAATGTATTCAGTATAACCTTCGCTTTTATCACTAGTCTTCCCAAATCATGATGATGTGTCCAGAAATTTACTGTAGTATCATCACGAAGTTTGTTATATCTTAATTTAGAAATACTGTTTGTTGGACATTGAACCCGAGTACTAGGCTAAGCTTCTGCCACTGAATAGAGATACTACTTTTTTGTTCAAGACATAAAAACTCTCAGAACCTCAACTTTCTCATAGGTAAAGACGTTTATACTATATGATATATAAGGGCCCCTCTATTTCTAAAATTCTTTTTAAAATTCCTAAATAACAAAATGAGTTTTTGTCTTGTCCTTCAGTGGTTTTTCCTTCTTGCTTCTAGTTGATTCTTGGTTAATTTTGCCTCCTGCAATTCTTTCTTTCTTCTAAATATTTTTGTTTCCCTAAATGTACTTTAATCCGATATTTTGGATTATTTATATTCAAATCAGATATAACAGGTTTCTATGCTGTGCCATTGTTTAAATTTTTTTCAGTAAGTTTTCTAATCATGAAAAAGTATAAATTTAAACATTTTCTGATATAATTTGCTTCTAAATCTGTTCATCTGACTTTTCTCTAAAATGAGACCTGATGCTGTTGCTAAGTCTCTTCAGTTGTATCTGTCTCTGTACGACCCCATAGACGACAGCCCACCAGGCTCCCCCATCCCTGGGATTCTCCAGGCAAGAATGCTGGAGTGGGTTGCCATTTCCTTCTCCAATGAATGAAAGTGAAAAGTGAATGAAGTCGCTCAGTCGTGTCTGACTCTTAGCGACCCTGTGGACTGCAGCCTACCAGGCTCCTCTGTCCATGGGATTTTCCAGGCAAGAGTACTGGAGTGGGGTGCCATTGCCTTCTCCGAAAATGAGACCTACTTACAGAAAATTAGACAATTGTAAATCTATGATGGAAGGAACATGAAGTAATTTAGGTAACTGTTCTGTCCGTTCTTTTTCTCAATTTGATCATTGTTAGCTGTTTTTAAAAATGCTTAATAAAACATTTAATATGGAGCAGATTCTTATCAGAACATATATTAGAAATTTATAGCCATATAAATTTCTTTAGTGAATGAAAACAAAAAATTGCAATATTCCGTAGGTTGGTTTGCCACATTATTGGCTTTTTCTATCATAGATCTAAGCATTTAAATATACAGGATTGTAAATTATAGCAGCAATAATATTTATGGATAATGAGATATCACTGTGATTTCTGTAATTATTTTGTATTGTTCATTCCTCCTTTAAAAAATTTCCTTTTTTCTTTAGCTCTTCTTTCCTCTTTTAGTTTCTTCCTTCTTTTCTTTCTTCATTGACTCTCATTTATTCATTTCATCCTTGTAATTTCTTATCCTCAGGTTTGATAATTCCAATGAAAAACAGACCTAATATGGTAAATAAAATACATAGCTGCTGTGTGTTTTTCAAAGAGATTTTAGAGTTAATTTGATAATGAGGTTTAGTTGGGGAAAAAATCATTATTACAATCAGTATAAACTGTGTTGTTTTGGTTAGTGGAATATTTGTTAAGAGTATTTATACCAGAATTTCTTAGTCTGAGCTTCTTTCCCTTTGATTTGCTTTTAGGTTTAGGACCATAGCATCTAGCATATATTCAAAGGGCCTGTCACCCCCAAAAGTTAAGAAGCACTATAATTTAGACAAAGCATCTACCCAGCAAAGCATCTGTTGCATCTCTCAACCCTTAAATTCTTTTCTTTATTTAATTTACTTATATTTGCTACTTCTCCCACAGGATTCTTCTGATCGGGATTCTTCTGATCATGATCCTAGGTCTTTCATCCATGGTCTCAGAAATCCTCTTCTTAAGCTTTACATCTTCTTAAAAAATTAAAGCTTTACTTCTTAAAGCTTATCTTCTTAGCTTTACCAAAGAACCTACTCTTTGCTTTATTCAGATATTGCTGATGTAAAATATGATTTCTTAAGACTTCTTATGCATGAAATAAAGTTATTTTCTTACCTAATACTCTTCTGGTGAGAGTTCTCAAAACAAAACCGTGACTACTATGTTATATTTGACTTTCTGATCTGATATAGTATTTCTTATTTGTAAAAAAAAAAATACTTAAAATGATTTTGATAATAATTTAAAAGCTAGTTATTGCTCAATAACTTGCATGGGTGATATGAATATCATTAGGGGGAATATTTTCCCCCTAAGTAGGAAAGTGTTTTACTTGAAATACATTTCTGTTGTTAGGCTCTGTAAATCTTTAACTCAAAGGAGTGTGTTTTGAATTAGGCTTTTAGACTTTTAGGCTGTCTTGTATATATTTACAACTTTAAATATGTCACATTGATTAACAAAATGCAAAATTGTGGTAATATTTTCTTTTGAGTTGCTTATTCAAGAGCTACTCTTATTAAATTAATTCTGAAAACATAATATAATGTTGCTGTTTTGATATCCAGTGGGATATGGATTCTTGCAAATTATATGTAAACTACAAATCACATATTTGGCAAGTGATCAATAATCCTGTTGATTAATTAGGTAAGGGTGAAGTGGGTCACGTGATAACAGGATAGCAGTTGCTGCGTCAGAGACTTTTATAGTTTATCAAAACATGATAATACTACATGGCTGCAATATGGCAGAAAGCAGAGGGGTAATTAAAGATAATGCAAATAACTGATTATAAAAAGAGAGACATCCAGTCAAGTTGCAAGATAAAAACCTCCACTGCCAAAATAAATCCTATCACTTAGCCAGCAAGTGTTTATTACTCAGATTTTTGTTATGTAAAAGGAGACATAGAAGATATAAAGCATAGTTTCTGACATTTTGGAATTTACAGTCTAGTTGAAGAGAGCACAGTAACATGTAAGAAAGGATGTATCGTCAAATGATAAATTCTGCGGTCCTATCAGTGCCTTAAAAATCCAGGATCAACTTATATCCCACAGTGCTTGCTCAGTTCTTGTATTTTACTATCTTAAAAGTGTAGTTAATGAACAGAGTAAACAACATCACAACCAAGTTATTACTTTTATTGTAATTTATACTTTACAGTAATTTGCAACAACTTTTAGTACTTCAGTGAATGTAAAAAGTACATTTCTTTTTGTGAAAAGCTTTATTGAAATAAATTTAAATTTATTAATAGCCATTATTTTTCCTTTCTTATAAAAAGTATAGTTGTTAAGCCTATTGAATTTGTAGACTGTTATTTAATGTTATCTGTAATTTTGTAATAAGCATATGGTCCTGTTTATTTTTATATTAAATTGTTTTAACAAGTTCTCTTCGAGGAATTTGAGAGAACTTGTAAAAGAAAAATATTTGCGGTCCATATTATATTTCGTGCATATGTGATTTGTATCATTATAATGATTGTATATATATTTTTGTTAGCTTTTTTCATATCACACCATAAACACTTTTTTATGTAGCTCAAATTTGTTATATTTGCTGCCTATAAAATAGTCTGATATGTCATCATCATTTAGGTAACTGCTTCCTTTTGTTGGTCATTTCTAATTTTCCACTGTTACAATGCTTTGATGATTGTCATGGGCATAAAGTTATTGTTTTCTTTTGAGATTATTTCCTTAGGAAAGAATTTCCAGGAGTGAGAATTACTGGGACAAAAGATATGACTTAGATATGTTCATTTACACATATATTATGTAACTTGTATTCCAAGGAAGTATTGGAATAGCTTTAATCCCCTACCTGATTTCATTGGGAGTCCAGAGGTGTGCAGTTGTACACAGATTTTGAGAAAGTGAACTTTACATGCTTGAAAAGTAATATAGTCATGATTACAGTCATTAAAAAGTATTCTTTCCAGTGTAAATGTTTTTGTAATTTTCAGCAACTAATGAAATTACTTTTTAATTTTTCCAGAATACTTGTGATGCAGAAAAGTCTTATGAAGTGTTATTGAGCTTTGTGATAAGTGAACTGTCTAAAGGAAAGTTATACCATGAAGAAGGAACTCAGGAGTGTGCAACGGTACGCTCTCTCTAAGACCAGATGTAGTGGTTATTTAAAAATTTAGATTTTCTTGACATTATGAATATGACTTTTTAAGCTATGTCTATTACACTAATAGAATGAATTGTTCTGATTTTCTTTTTTAACTTTAGATTATCCCTGTTGCTTGGTCCCCTGAATCCATGGAAAAATACTTACAGGACTTCTGCTTACCTTTTCTCAGAATCACCAGCCTTCTTCAGCACCACCTTTTTGGGGAAGATTTACCTAGCTGCCAGGTATAAGTTTGGGTAGAGAGTAGGGAACCTTTTTTATAAACAAATAACTAATTTTTAAAAATATACTGATACAGTATTATGCTTATATCAATATCCAGAACTGCCATACAAAGATGAAGGTGAAAGCATTAGGTTGTTCAGTCGTGTCTGACTCTTTGTGACCTCGTGAGCTGTAGTCTGCCAGGCTCCTCTGTCCATGGAATTCTCCAGTCAAGAATACTATAGTGGGTAACCATTCCCTTTTCCAGGGGATCTTCCCCACTCAGGGATCAAACCCGGGTCTCTTGCATTGCAGGCAGATTCTGTACTATCTAAGCCACCAGGGAAATCCCCCATACAAGAATATGTTACTCCAACACAAAGAAGTAAATATTTAGAATATTTACTATTATCGTTACTTGTTTATTTGTTAATACCACCCATTTTTTTTGGTAATATTACTAAGATTTTATGTTAGAGGAGTTTATTATTAGATCTGTGATAATAAATCCCTAGTACATGAACAAAAGATAGTATTCATATTGATATATTTTTCATATTGATATATTTATCACTAATCATCACTGGCTTTTAGTATCCCTTTTAAAGGGTATTATGTTGACCAACAAGCTGGTTGTTTTAAGATCTGATGGCATTTATGTAATTTTAGAATTTAAAAATACTCAGTTTGTAGCCAGTTAAAACTTGAATGAATGATCACTGATTTAATTTATTTTATAAAACTGTGTGTCAGTGTGAGCAGGCAAGAAAGTGCAAAAGAAAGTAGGAAACCAGAAGGTAAGTAAATCAAGCTTTGTTTATAGGATTATGACCCTGTCATTATTTGTCATTCATTTTCAGGGAATTTTCTGTGAGAGTTAAGTCACTTACCATATTTATGGTCTTTGAAGCCTGCATGCAGTATATCGGAATTAAGCCATTGATTATTCCTTCTCTCTTAAATAATTGACCATTCCATTAAATAGTTTGAATTCATTGTTTTTTTTTAATCAATAGGGCAGGAAGATATAACAGTTATAAATATATATGCATGAAACAACAGAACCCCAAATTACATAAAAATTGACAGAATTGAAAGAAGAAATAGACAATCCACAATTATAGCTGCAAACTTCAGTGTTCTTTCTTAGTAATCAGTAACAAATAGACAGAAAATCAACTGGGATAAGACTTGAACCATACTACTATTCAACTTGATATAACTGACATCTATAGGATACTTCACCAGACAGTAATAACAAAATGCATATTGTTAAAAATGCACGTGGCCCATTCAGTAGACTATACCATATGCCAAGCCATGAAGCAAGTAACAATAAATTAAAAGAATTGAAATCACAAAGCAATTTTCTTACTATACAGAATTAAATTAGAAAATCAATAACAGAAAGAAATATACAAATCTCCAAGTATGTGAAAATTAAGTAGTATACTTCTAAATAACTTAAGTATCAAAGTAGAAATCACATGGAAACCAGAGAACATTTAAACTGAGTGAAAATGAAAACACAGCATAGCAAAAATGTGAAATGCCACTAAAATATTTCTTGGAGAAATACAGCTTCAAATGCTTATATTTGAAAAGAAGAAAGGTCTAAAATCATTTATCTAAATTTTTACTTTATGAAAAAAGAAATAGAGCAAATTAAATCCAAAGCAAGTTTAAAAAAATTAGAAAAATCAGAGCAGAAATCAATGACATAGTAGTGAAACAGTAGAGAAAATCAATGAGTTCAGACAAGATGGGGTGCGTTCAGGGTGATAATGGCTGTAGACCATCAATGAGTTCAAAATCTGGTTCTTTGCAAAGATCAATAAGATGGATACATGTAAATGTTAGGAGCTCAGCTAAGCTGGGAGAGAGAGAACTGAGTTGCTCGGTACTGGACTGGCTGATTAAAGCTGCAAGCCACAGATGAAAGAGTTAAGCCTTTAAATCACTTACCATGATAGTATAAGCAAGAGGCTAAAACCAGGGGAAATGCTGATTCCTCATTTCATCACCTCATAGAATGAAGTGGTGTACCAGTTGAGGGTCATAATGGATCAGCACAGATGTTAAGGGAGTCTCAAACAGAAGGCTGTTTTAGTATTATGAACTCTGAGGTGGAGAGGGGGTGAGGGGGTCGGGACAGAAGTGGAAAAGTGCTGGGTACTGAGTCAGAATGGCAAAACGTTTCTTCAAGGTTTCACCTTTTTCCCTTCATAAGGTGGCCTTGGCAGAAATGTCAAGGTGTCCCCTGCCCAAGGCCTCAGATAAAGAAGCCTAGGAATAAAGGCACCAGGGCTAGGAATACAACTATGTGAAAGAGCATGACTGACCAGGCGGCCTGAGACATGACTGCAAATCCCTTCAGAGACCGCAGTTTACACTATTTACTATTGTGAATTCCATGCTTTCCCTATTCTTCTTTATCCGCACTGACAGTCTATGTCTTTTTAACCAAAAGTCACTGTCCTTTTGCTCCATATTAACATTTGACTTCCTAGTGGAGCTAGATTCTATAGACTATCAGATAGTCTATAGATAACTGACAGTGCTATTTTTAAAATATGTAAATGTATAAATGAAGCAGATGCTATGGTACTTAGGAGTTAAATTTCAAAGAGAAATATTATGGGAATATTGGATATAACATCTTGGAACCTTTTTCTTTCTTTGCTCCTCTTACTTCCTTTACTTTATTTAGTTGAATCAGTTAAGAAAGTTTTCATACTATCCAAAAGTAATTGATGAGAATGACACTTAAAAGTGTCTGTAGTGGGAAATGTTCATGAGAAATGTCTTTAGAATTTTCTGTTTTATATCTAAAAGGAAGAAGAAGAATTTTCAGTTCTTTCCAGCTGTCTGGGACTTCTGCCAACATTCTACCAAACAGAACATCCATTCATCAGTGCCTCCTGTCTGGATTGGCCAGTTCCAGCATTTGATATTATATCTCAGTGGTGTTTTGAGATAAATTCATTTACTGAAAGACATGCTGAACAAGGAAAGGTATGTAAAAAGAGTAACACTCGCTTGCTATAGTGGTGACATGCTAATAAGTAAGAGAATACTTAATTCATACTTCCCAATTGTCTAGGGAACCTAGAATGGTCAAAGACATTTAGTTTTTAATTCAGTAGCACTGTTAAGATGTCCCTTGATGGAGGATAGTACACGGCTTCCTTATGATAGTACTAAAACCACAGAAGAATCCAGAAAGTCAGGGAAACAGAAATTAAACACCAAAATCTTAGGTCTAATTATGAGAGATGTCACCCCCTGGTTCCCAAATTTGTGCATTCCATCTATAATGGAGCAATCACCCTGTGTACTGGTGCTTGCTTAGCTCATATACCTCATTCTGTAGGACCATATACCTCATTCTATAGGTGTTTTCTTTTAGATGGTATCATCTAAAAATTCATCAGCAAAGTAGTTGATTATTTAAAAGACCACTGAGTTTTCGGATGATTGACTACCAGTTAAGATCAGTTAATTCATAGACATCCACTTCTTGCCTTCCTCTTTCTGTATGAAGAAAATTCTTTGACTAGACTAGACCATGTGGTGTATGCTGCTGGGCATTTACAACCTAATTTAGGGAAGTATCAAGGTCAGTGAGGACAAATGGCTGTTCTTTCCACTGATGGAAGGGTTCCATATTTAATCAACTCATTACAGAATATGCAGTCTTTGGAGTCAAGAGTTGGGCACTGTGTATGGCAAATAGCATATTGTAAGCACATATATTGTCCTTATCCTTGCTTCCATGGCCACTTTATCCATGAACTTACTGATAAACACCAAGCTGGATATTTGTATAAGATGTATTATGGCTGTCAGTACCGTGAGAAGATCACCAGGTGAATTGCCAACCTCTATAGTTTCTTAAAATATAGATTCATACTACATTGTATCTGTTTTAAGTGTTAAGGAAGTAGCATTTAGAAAAAACATAAATGCTATTTCCAGTATGTTTATATAACTACAAAAAAATGAACTTAATACCCTTTAGGGAAATTTAACTGATTTGTTCTTTTTTTTCATACTTCCTGACAAAATTTATGAAAAGAATTGTAGCCCTAGCACTGACAGATATAAAAGCTCTTAACAGCTTGAGGTGTAAGATTTTTCATCTTCTAGAAAGGAAACTCCAGATTATAAAGTACTGAAATAGAAATTAAATTATAACCATGATCTTCCCCAAAAGAAAAAGCCAATGAATTGTTTGATCACACTCAGGTCTCCTGCACTGCAGGTGGATTCTTTACCATTTGAGCCACCAAGTGTCCTTTTTTGTATCTAAGAAAGGTTCAAAACTTAGTTTTGAAAGATGTGTAACTGTTTAAAATTACACATCAAGAATATTTACAAACAAATACATCTGCATATATTTTCCTTGCATCCTTAGTTATATTTCATATTTTTCTTTTAAAATAATAAGAAATTTAAATGTTCTAGGGTGCTTAATCTAAAGTTTACAACAAGTAGTAATTGAAAAAGCATGAAAGTGTTAGTTGTTCAGTTGTGTCTGAGTCTTTGCAACCCATGGACTGTAGCCTGCCAGGTTCCTCTATACATGGGATTCTCCAGGCAAGAATACCGGAGTAGGTAGCCATTCACTTCTCTTCTCCAGGGGATCTTTCCAACCCAGGGATCAAATCCGAGTCTCTTTATGTCTCCTGCATTGGTAGGCGGGTTCTTTACCACTGGTGCCACAAAGGGACTTAAATTAAAATAGAATATATTAAAATAGAGAATGGTAATTGTTGAAGGACTATTTTAGTCTTTTGTAAAATGGAAATGGCAAGAGTGTTAATTAAAAAAAAGCCACATTCTTGGAGACAGATTTTCTTTAAAAAAGAAAACAGCCTTTAAAAAACAAATATTTTGTATAAGTAACTTAAATACATAGGACTAATGAATATTTTTGAATAATGTTTTAGGCATTGCTTATCCAAGAGTCAAAATGGAAATTGCCACACCTTCTACAGTTGCCTGAAAATTATAACACCATTTTCCAGTACTACCACAGAAAAACCTGTAGTGTCTGCACCAAGGTTCCTAAAGACCCTGCTGTTTGCCTTGTTTGTGGTACTTTTGTATGCCTGAAAGGACTTTGCTGCAAGCAACAAAGTTACTGTGAATGTGTATTGGTAAGCAAGAGTAAATAGTATAAAATTTATGGAAGCTCAAATCTCATATCACATGGAAATGTGGTGTGTATTACATACAATGCAGTGTGTATTACATACAAAAATATGGTCAAACCAACTTCAAATTTAACTATTATTTGAGTTAAATACATGATACATATAAGGATCTTGATTTTGTTGTTGTTTTACATCCTGTAGAAGGGTAAAAACAAAACAACACCACCACCACCCACCTAAGGTTTTTTATGAGTAAAACCTTTCATAAGTGCAGCTTCAGTTCCTCTCCCTACTCCCCTCTCTTGCCCTTTAATGGAATATATGTTTAGATGTTATGCAGTGGAACAACCGTTAGATATGCTGTTATAGACACTAGCCTCAATGAATTAGTTTTAGGTTAGCTCTTAATTGAGTTCCTAGGTAATCCTTATCCAAATTCTTCCTAATGTATTGTTAATAAAGGATTAAGAATGAGACTATAAGTTTAACTTAGATGAAATCTTATTTTAAAAAATTAAATGTTTCTATTATTTAAGAAGAGATGGCATTATTCATTTTCTTTTCTTGTGAAGTCCATTTGATTATGAAGTTCATTCACATTTTTTTATTTTTTAGCATTCTCAGAACTGTGGTGCTGGAACAGGGATTTTCCTTTTGATCAATGCATCAGTGATTATCATCATTCGAGGCCACCGCTTCTGCCTCTGGGGTTCTGTGTATTTGGATGCTCATGGAGAGGAAGACCGAGATCTTAGGTTAGATGTTCATGGATATATCCTCGTGTGTTTTATTCAACTTTGGCCAGTAAGAATAATGTGCCATTCCTGGCTTTGTAATTGTGTTGATAATAATAATTACTCTTTATATTAAGAAATTCTGGCAGTCATTAATTTAGAGTTGTTTCTACGTGGGGGGATATTTTCCCCATTACGATGTTAAGGAAATGTGAAATAAACCAATTTCCTAGGTGAGATTTTTGCCATAGAGAATCTGTTTTTTAAAACATGTGTGAAAGCTTCATTGTATTATATTATTTTAATGCTTTTTTTTTTTCTTTTCATTCTAGGCGAGGCAAGCCTCTCTACATTTGTAAAGAAAGATACAAAGTTCTTGAACAACAGTGGATTTCTCATACTTTTGATCACATCAATAAAAGATGGGGTCCACATTACAATGGGCTGTGACTTACCACCTTGGCATTTCATTATATCATTTTCATTAAGAATTTATCAACAATAAGCTTTAACTTAATTTGGGGGATTAACGCTTTTGCTGAGGGAAAAAAAGAAAACATACATTTTAAAGCCTTTCCAAAATTAGGTGCTTGGTAATCACATTAATGGTATAATAATTTTTTTTTTTAAGTATCTGGAGAGCATAACAAGTAACGAGTTAAACCATTCTTTAGTGGTCCTTTTTTGTTTAAGTCCACAATTAATAAGAAGCACAACTTGTTGACAAAATCATTTTAAAATGATTCTCCCAATAGTGCATATCTGCTTTTCATTGATATTTAGAGTGGATGTGATTTATTTAAGGTTTTACTGCTTCTTTATATCTGTGTTTTAATTTGCATCTGCTAAACATAATGCATCCTTTCCCTCTGCCATTCTTGTGTTGATTTGAGATTTTTGCTGTATGTAATTAGAAAAAAATGTAAAACATGATTTATGTGAAATATTGTATAGTAAAAGTTGGTCTAATAGTAGAACTTTACAATTTTTTCTTATTGTGAGGAACCTGTTAAAAGTTTAAGGCTTTGCTGAAAACTTAATTCATTCTCAGGAATTTCATAAATATTCTCCCCAGGTAAATAACTGAAATAGTTGTAAAATAAGTAGATAGCTGCTGTTAATATAATACAGTACTTTTAGGGGGGCATTTGTGTGGTTGGGGGAGTCCCTAAAAATCAAAATTTGCCATTTCACTTGGATAAATTACTTGAGATAATAGCAAATAGATTTTATTATAAAATCAGAAGTTTTAAGAACATACACATGGCAGATTTTGATTCTGTGCATGCCCACCTTTTATTACCAACCAAGTTTTTGTTTAAATGATTGGATTGGAAAAAAGCTCTGATTTCCCCACAAATGGAGCATAGTTTTGGAACTTTCCTTATCAGCTCAAGAGGTTCATCTGTATTGTATTTGTGCAGTGTAATCATTGTTATTTCTGCTTGGATTCCTAAAAGGGAAAAAAAAACGGCTCAGTGGTGATGATCCTCGTGAGTGAACTGTACACCTGCATTCTTGTTTGAAGCTGCTGTGAAAAGCGGTTTATGTTTGTAGGGTTTTTAAGTCAGTAAGAATGGAAATGATTGAGCTAAAACCCACTCTGTACTTACAGAAGGAAGATTACAGAAAAGCATGTTATATATTGCTGCCACAATTTTTCTTCCAAATGATTCAATAATTTGATGATTATTTAATATATATAGTGCTATCAAGCAATTCCTGGTACTTTGGACTTCCATGGCTTGTTATATAAAATTACATTTTTATGTGTAAAAATAAACTAAAAAACATCTAATGGTAAAATAAAATCACAGATCTGTGTTCTAAAAATTGTTGAATGACATGATACTACAGGATATAAAAATGGACTTTAAATGATGGCCTTGCATTAAAATAGAACAGAACAGTAAATATTCAAATATGTTCAAAAAATCAAAAGATTACCTATGGACCTACAATAAAACACATGGAAATAGCTTGCTATTTTTATATACATTTCCAAGATATTAAGGTAACTTTCTGAAAGACTAGAATGATTCTGTTTAATTAAGTAGCTGTCCTTTCCAACACATTGCTACTTTTTAAAATACTGTATCATAAGTTCAGCCTGTCTTACTTTTTGCATTGGTCATTATGGATACCAGACCATTTGTAAGTGTGGTTGAAGAACAAAATGCTAATTTACATCTCTAGTAAATACTGTTACAGGATTCATGAACTTGGATAATTCTACAGTTTGAAACTCTGATGCTATATATACATGGTATAATGTATTCAGACTTTGATTACTGCATATTTAAAATGGAATGTTTTATGGTTGTGCATATGGATGTGAAGTGAAAATATTAGCCTTAACATTAAAATTTGGGTATTTGATAGTGTTTATTTTGATATTGGTGAATTAGTCACCAGTAAAATTTTAAAAAGCACTTGGTTGAAAATTGTACTTGAATTACATACATGCATGCTGCTAAACTAGAACTTTAATTTTTACCCCATAACTTTTATAAGTCCCATTTATAAACCCACTTTTAAAAATAACAGGTCCAAGTTAGAGTGATGTGTGTATATTATTCAAAAAAATGTCCTGGTGTGATATCTTGTATGAATCATCATTTAAATACAGTACATTACTGTAGAAGCTAAATCAATCTTTATAATTAAGCAGAAATTACAAAACTAGGATAATCAACATTGTAAGATATGTTAATAAAAGCCTACTGTCACTTGGTTTGTGAAAGGTCCTTAACATGCTTATTCTTACATGTTTTTATTTTTTCAAAGATATTGGCCATAATATATGTGAGTGAGCATAAATGAAAAGATCAAAGCATAACATAGCTAATAGTTGCTGTAAGGTGGAGTTAATATAAAGGGTTTGCTTTTCCATTAACCTTTTATTTACAGAGCTAGTTCCCCTTCCTTCTTTGTCTCCTAACTAACATAAAGCCTTTGCTAAGTGCTGTATGTTTGTTTAGAAGCAGGAAATGGGTTAAAGGAGAGGAAATGGATTTTTGGAGAAGCAAATGGATGTGCACATCTAAAGAACACTGCTGTGGTCCCTGTTGCTCCCTGAACATCCCCAACTAGACTTTAGGAATCTAAAGTGCTTTAGTTTAGTTGAGTCGCTCAGTCATGTCCGACATTTGTGATCCCATTGACTGCAACATGCCAGGCCTCCCTGTCCATCACCAACTCCTGGAGTTACTCAAACTCATGTCCTTGAGTCAGTGATGCCATCCAACCATCTCTTCCTCTGTCGTCCCCTTCTCCTCCTGCCTTTAATCTTTCTCAGCGTCAGGGTCTTTTCCAGTAAGTCAGTTCTTCGCATCAGGTGGCCAAAATACTGGAGTTTCAGCTTCAACATCAGTCCTTCCAATGAATACTTAGGACTGATCTCCTTTAGGATGGACTGGTTGGATCTGCTTGCAGTCCAAGGGACTATCAAGAGTCCTCTACAACACCACAGTTCAAAAGCATCAATTCTTCAGCGCTCAGCTTTCTTTATAGTCCAACTCTCACATCCATACATGACTACTGGAAAAACCATAGCTTTGACTAGATGGACTTTTGTTGGCAAAGTAATGTCTCTGCTTTTTAATATACGTTCTAGGTTGGTCATAGCATTTCTTTCAAGGAGTAAGCGTCTTTTAATTTCATGGCTGCAGTCACCATCTGCAGTGATTTTGGAGCCCCCCAAAATAAAGTCTCTCGCTGTTTGCACTATTTCCCCATCTATTTGCCATAAAGTGATCGGACCAGATGCCATGGTCTTAGCTTTCTGAATGTTGAGCTTTAAGCCAACTTTTTCACTCTCCTCTTTCACTTTCATCAAGAGGCTTTTTAGTTTTTCTCTTTCTGCCATAAAGGAGGTGTCATCTGCATACCTGAGATTATTGATATTTCTCCCAGCAATCTTGATTCCAGCTTGTGCTTCATCCAGTTCAGCATTTCTTACGATATACTCTGCAGATAAGTTAAATAAGCAGGGTGACAATAGACAGCCTTGATGTACTCCTTTCCCTATTTGGAACCAGTCTGTTGTTCCATGTCCAGTTCTAACTGTTGTTTCTTGACCTGCATACAGATTTCTCAGGCAGGTCAGGTGGTCTGGTATTCCCATCTCTTTAAGAATTAATTTTCCACAGTTTGTTGTGATCTACACAGTCAAAGGCTTTGGCATAGTCAATAAAGCAGAAATAGATGTTTTACTGGAACACTGTTGCTTTTTTGATGATCCAACATGTTGGCAATGTGACCTCTGGTTCCTCTGCCTTTTCTAAAACCAGCTTGAACATCTGGAAGTTCACAGTTCACGTCTTGCTGAAGCCTGGCTTGAAGAAGAGCATTACTTTCCTAGCGTGTGAGATGAGTGCAATTGTGCGGTAGTTTGAGCATTCTTTGGCATTGCTTTTCTTAGGGATTGGAGTGAAAACTGACCTTTTCCAATCCTGTGGCCACTGCTGCATTTTCCAAATTTGCTGGCATATTGAGTACAGCATTTTCACAGCATCATCTTTTAGGATTTGAAATAGCTCAGCTGGAACGTCATCACATCCACTAGCTTTGTTTGTAGTGATTCTTCTTAAGGCCTACTTGACTTCGCATTCCAGGATGTCTGGCTGTACGTGAGTGATCACACCATCGTGATTATCTGGGTCATGAAGATCTTTTTTGTATAGTTCTTCTGTGTACTTTTTTGTATAGTTCTTCTTTCTTGCCACCTCTTCTTAATGTCTTTTGCTTCTGTTAGGTCCGTACTCTTTCTGTCCTTTATTGTGCCCATCTTTGCATGAAATGTTCCCTTGGTATCTCTAAGGTTCTTGAAGAGATCTCTTAGTCTTTCCTAATCTGCTGTTTTCCTCTATTTCTTTACGTTGATCACTGAGGAAAGCTTTTTTTTTTTAATTTATTTATTTTTGTTGGAGGCTATTTACTTTACAGTATTGTAAATACCAATGTATGGTTTTTGCCATACATTGATATGGAATCAGCCATGGGTTTACATGTGTTCCCCATCCTGAACCCCCTTCCCACCTCCCTCCCCATCCCCTCCCTCAGGGTCATCCCACTGCACCAGCCCTGAGCACCTTGTCTCATGTATCAAACCTGGATGGGCGATCTGTTTCATATATGATAACATACATGTTTCAATGCTATTCTCTCAGATCATCCCACCCTCGCCTTCTCCCACAGAGTCCAAAAGACTGTTCTATACATCTGTCTCTTTTGCTGTCTCACATATAGGGTTATCGTTACCATCTTTCTAAATTCCATATATATGTGTTAGTATACTGTGTTGGTGTTTTTCTTTCTGGCTTACTTCACTCTGTATAATAGGCTTCAGTTTTCATCCACCTCATTAGAACTGATTGAAATGTATTCTTTTTAATGGCTGAGTAATAGTCCATTGTGTATATGTACCACAGCTTTCTTATCCATTCGCC